ATTCAGTGACTAGACCCAAAGAGTTGTGAGTTCAAAACCAGGCCGCAACAGTGGTGAACCAGAAACATAGAGAGGTGAGGTAACGGGAAATAACTGCGACATCCGGAAGAGTCATGCCACGTGGAACTAGAGCAATCTACCCCGGTGGACGAAATAAAGGGTTCGGTTCGTAATTCTAAGAAGTCCGATCGTACGACGGCCGAAACGTTATAGATATGACAATGGAGAAGAGGATTACAGACCAAATAATGTAAATAATGCAAGTAATCAACAGAAAAGAAAAAATATTATAAGATCATACGAGAAATTATATAACAAAATAGTCAAAAGCACCTTGTCCGTCATATTTAATAAACCTTGCATATATATATATATATATATATATATATATATATATATATATATATATATATATATATATCACTTTAAACGTTATTTTAATGGATATTTGAGGAGGCGCTCTGTTTATTTATTAAACATTATATTTTATTTACTTTATCTTTTTTTGTCTATACATGTTCGAGAAATCCTATTAAAGAAAAGTTTGCACTCTCCGGCATTATATATATATATATATATATATATATATATATATTTATGATAAGAATATTTTAAAGATATACTCTATCTATGTGTACTCAGTATCAGGGATGGGGCGTGGTAAATATAACAAAATCTTCAGCCCATGTGCTTTGGATGGTACCCGGACTATTTATATATGCTGCCCAATGGGAATTATGGGTAGCACCCATGATCTTCCTACTCATAATACGACATTGTCCAGCATATATAAATAGTCCAGTCCCCCAAAAAACACAGTATGAAAACTGCATTTACACACCGTCGTCCTAGACGCTGATCCCAGTGTCCCCCTCTCTCTCTCTCTCTCTCTCTCTCTCTCTCTCTCTCTCTCTCTCTCTCTATCTATCTATCTATCTATATATATATATATATATATATATATATATATATATATATATATGAAAAGGCTAAAATGCCAAACAAACTCCCAACCCGGGTTTCGCTCGTAAGGCAAGATCATTCCACTTGCCTGAAGAGACGTTACGAGCGAAACCCGGGTTGCGAGGTTAGTTGGCATCTTAGCCTTTAATTAAATATCTTAGCTTTACATATTCGATTTTGAAATTTATTGAGCACTTTTCTTTTGTCTATACATCTTAGGCGCGGCTGTTTGCAGCCTTTCTTTTACATTTCTATCCGCATATATATATATATATATATATATGTATGTATGTATGTATGTATGTATATATATAAAAATTTAATTTAATTAGAAAACAGACAACATTAAGGGTCCACAGATTATATTTTATTCCCCCAGGTAGGTGTTTTTTTGGGTTCATCAGATCACATTTACAAGGGTAAAAATATAGTTTTAAATTTACGTATTATTTTTATACACTTTTTTCAGAGTATATTTTGATACACTTTTTTTATACAATTTTTCAGTGTATAAAAATAATGCGTAAATGTAGAACCATTTTTTTACCCTTGTAAATGTTATCTGATGAACCCAGGAAAAAAAAACACTTACCTGGGTAAATAAAATATAATCAATGGACCCTTAAGGTTGTCTGTTTTCTAATTAACTTAATAGTTGCTCTGGTTTGACATTGAGGTCTCTGGATTACATCTTCCTTAGGATTATCCATACGGATTGCCAAACTTTTCATTACCTAATTATATATATATATATATATATATATATATATATATATATATATATACATGTGTGTGTGTGTGTGTGTGTGTGTGTGTGTGTGTGTGTGTGTGTGTGTGTGTTTTATTTTATATGTACAGTAATTGGAAAGCGCTCAATATTGCTGATAGAGCTAACATATTCAGTTGTATGGATATGAGTTTGTGACCCTGGGTTTGTCTGATTATCGGAAAAGCGTGAAACCCAAGGACAAAAAAAAGATGTTTGGCAAAAATTCAAATGGTAATAATCAAGAAAATATTTGGAGAAGCTGGAGTTCTAAATGTAAACAAAGACAAAATATAAAATATTAAAAACATTGGCTAAGGACATTGTCTGTGACCAAAGAAGCTACAAGTTTTAAGTAAGCCCCACAAAGTGAAACGGGGCAAGATGAGAGAAGTAAATGTAAAGTCATTTCTTAGCATTCATTTTTAATGATGAATGTAGAGCTACATTGGATAAATTTAAAAATTGTCATATTCTTTCATACCCAATAACCCCTTGCGTCTTAGTGTCTTTCTTTCCTTACTCGGTGTGAAATGATTTTTAAAAAGCCTAGAACAATGATCCGAACAGATATATATATATATATATATATATATATATAAATATATATATATATATATATATTACTCTAAACGATGTATTTAGTGGGAATACATATTTGAGTGGATATCCCTGATTCTTTTAAACATTAAAATTTATATATATCGGCTTCAAAACATGGATGTCTATTCAAGCATGTGTTCCCACTAAATATAATGTTTGGTAGTGATATCTGGCTTCTCGTAACCGAGTGTGCCCGTCCACTGTGATGGCTAGCCAATCCCTGTTGCAGACGCCTGTTCAGGCACATTTGTGTTTGTTTAACACCCACTGAGCCAACTGTGGTTTATACTGCAACTATGCTGAGCGAAACTTAGTTTCAGTTTCTTGGAGATACCGCATTATCTGGTGTGATCAGCAGTCTGAACAAGGACAGTACGCACAAATACTCGGTCACGATCACTTGCAACTTCGTGTTAGTACGAAAATCGACGGCTCCCAAACATTTCCGTCTACTCAATTTCTCTCACACGGGTTGATATGTTTTTCAGCCACGATAAATCGATCATGAGATTCGAACACGGGTCTCATGGACAGAAAAGAACAGCTACGTCCCCATATATATATATATATATATATATATATATATATATATATATATATATATATATATATATTGTCATATTGTCAAATACCACATAAACCCTTGAGCGCTCAGCCTTGCAGCGGATAGAATGGAGATCAACGTGTTTTAGTGGACTTAGCAGTTTTCAATCTGCTTTTCTGAACCATCTTCAAGAAGCGAAAGCAACATCTATAAGGTCAGCCAATCTGACAGTGGTCTCATCTTACAATCCTCACTCTTGCTCCATATGTGGACTCCTTTGTAAATCACTAGTGGGTCTTAAGTGCCACTTAAAATTATCGCACAAAATTTCATAACTGAATCAATTAAGTTATAAGATCCTCATCCATCGAAACCGACAGGAGAATCCATATCTATCTATCTATCTATCTATCTATCTATCTATCTATTTTTATATATATATATATATATATATATATATATATATATTTCAACACAACTGTAATAAATAAAAAAAAATCAGGTTTTTCATAAGCAGCATTATAAGAATAAAAAAATAAATATCAGTGTGTCATAGTGATATCATTTCAGTATTTAGATACTATCACATCTAGAAAATGAAAATAATTGCTTTATAAAAAATCTTGAGGGGTCCTAGGCTGCAGTCTATAATCGTCTAAAGGATAATCTGGCCCGGGGCATTAATCTGCTGCCTATACTAGCCGAAAGGATAATCTGGTCTTGAGCCCTGGTATGCAGTCTATTCTAGCTTAAATGATAATCTGGCCCTGGTCCCTGTTCAGTGTAGCATCTGTACTCTCTGATCAGATTATCAATACTTGAACTTCTGCCCTGGATCAGACATCTTTTATTAGGCCTATGGGCCAGCATCAAAGTGTAGTATCTGTCCTCTTAAAATTATAAGGAATATTTTTTATTCGTGATACTTTTTAGCAATATTTACATAGTTTGAAATAAACTTATAAATACTTTGAATAAGCTAGAACAATTTTCTTTTGCTTGTCAATAAAAAATATTCTTTAGAAATACCACTATTTTACAATTCATTGCAAAACAAATTAGTATATATTTCAACACAACTGTAGTAAAAAACAAAAAAATAGATATGTTATAACCAGCATTATAATATAACAATCAAAATAAATATGAGTTTGTCATATTGATATAATTTCAGTTTATGAAAGTATTTAGATGCTATAACATCCAGAAAATGAAAACCATTGCTTTATAAAAAATCTTGAGGGGAGCCTAGCCTAAAGATTAATCTAGCCCTGGGCCCTAGCCTGCAGTCTATACTAGCCTAAAGGATAATCCGTCACTGGGCCCTAAGCTGCAGCCTATACTAACCTAAAGGACAATCTGTCCCTGTATATATATATATATATATATATATATGTGTGTGTGTGTGTGTGTGTGTGTGTGTGTGTGTGTGTGTGTGTGTGTGTGTGTGTGTATATATATATATATATATAAGTTATTGTCCTTTACTTTGTAACGCGTAGAACATATCATGCTATATACTTAAGCTTCATTACTCAGAAGACATGAAATATCGCTTAAATTTCTGAGTATCTTATGAACCAGCTGAAGTATGGAAGTTCAAAAATAACAAAATCTTGGCAAAACTATATTGGCTTCACTAAACTACGGTTACATGACCGTGAACATTCTCGCTGTAAAATATTTCCGTCGTTATTGGATGTAATTTTTTTACAGTATTAATATTCAGACAATTATCCTCATATGTGTTGTTTTTAACACAACATTTCGGCCATTGTGTCCTCCTGCCGCCCTCAAGTGTCTATCGCTTTGAGTTGACTTATAGGGAATACCGAACTGAACCCTTTATTTAATCTACGGGAGTAAACTGTTCTCGTTCCACTGATCATGTCTACAGATAGTTCTTATTTTATTTACCACTGGATGCAATTTGTTCAATGAATCCTATTGATATCAACCTGAGTTACAGTGTGTTAAAAGTACGGATGCCCAAAAGTGCGAAAACATTGATATTACACCCATAGATAAAAGTATATTCCTAACGTTAAAACGTCATCTGATGGATCTTTTTTGATAAATCCTTACAGTCTCTATTCTTATTTGTCATTTTATTTTATTTTTCAGTGACGTCAAGAACAAAGACTTACAGATCCAGCTTGAACAGACATTGACGCAGTCTTCATCGCCGTACCCTCAAGACCGTAGTACTCCACGTATAGGCAAAGTCCGGAACAACAGGACGAAGGCCAGGCGATCGCCTTACTCTCATATTTCGGACGGTTCAGACTACAGCAACGATTATCCTGAGAGGCAGGCGGCAACATACGACTACATCCCTGATATGTCAATGCCAGTTCAGGGGTATCAAGGCGTCATGTACCAACACCCCCACGAGACAATGGACCGGTACAACCCGATCTATTCCTCTCCTTACCCGCACCCTGCCACCGCCAGCATGGGAGTGTATCGCGACAGCACCTGCGTGTATCCGTACCAGCCCCAGAGGTACTTCGACGAGCGTAGTCCTTACAGGGGCTACGAAGAACGATATTACCCTAACCGAGACACTTCGTCATATTCAAGTTACGTCACTGCAACTCAGCCGGCGACGGGTGTGCTGGATAACGTCGCTACAATTCGGCTCGGTCACAGCGATTCGAGCCGGGAAAGCTATCGTCAGTCTGACAGCACGCAATCTATCACAGCTGGTCAGCAGTATGAATACCGGACGTCCGGTCCTTGTTCCGGAAGTGGCTCCCGTGACACAGCATCTTACGGCACGGGTGGTACTCCGGGCAGCAACAGTGCTTCGGTGCTGAGCTATTCCACACCGTTCAGCAATCGGTCAGAATCTTCCGCCTCTGAAGTGGACGTCGTTAATGAAGAATACGACAAAAGGCACTCGTCGGTCCACACCCATCGAGGGGAACGTCACGGGGCTACGACGGGCGGAAGTGGTATCAGTGTAGGGGTCAATCGGGCTGAGGTTGTGACTACCGGGAATGGAGGCTCAAAATACGACACTTTGATGGATACTTCCCAACTAGTGAAAGAAGAATCGTACAAGACTCAGCAACAGCAGCAACAACAACAAGTAGACCCGCAACAGACCAATGGTCATCTTAACTCTAGTCTTGGTAATAACTCTAGTCTTGGTAATAACTCCAGTCTTGGTAATTCGCAAACCAGGGACTCTGTTTACCAATCTGTAATTATGCGTAGACAGTCGAACCAGACATACCAAGTGGGTACCTCCAACAACAACGCTAACACAAACAGCAGTAATAGTAGTAACAATGGCAGTAGTAACCGCGGTAACAGCAATGGTGGGTCAAATTCTGTCGGAACCACTAACTCTGCGGCCAATAGCACAAACAGTCAAACACAGAATCACGGCCAGCCGGGAAACCATCAGAACGGGCATCTACATCAACAGCAGCACCACCATCCCCACCAACAACAGCAACATCACCACCACCACCACCACCACCATCATCATCACCAGCAGCAAACACACCCTGTTAACGGGTCCACCAACAACATGGCGTCGTCATCGTCCTGCTCCTCTTCCTCGGAGTCCTCCTCCTCGTCGTCTGTGGTCTCCGTCGCCGACTACGATGTCTCGCCCGTGTACCTCAAAGCCGAGACGACCAACTCCGTTCAGCACGATCTAAAACGGTCCTCGGCTGCCGTAGGGCCCGTACCAACAGTGACCACTCCGGAAAACCAAGCTGCGGTTACGGTCCTTTCTGACAGCGTCGGCGTCGGCGTTGCCGGGGGCGCCCCCAGCAGCCTCGTACCGGCCACATCAACAACGACGCAAAAATTGTTGAGCATGCGAACCTTGCAAGAGAAATCCTTGGCCGCCGCCGCTGCCGCTGCCGCCGCCGCCGCTGCCACAGAGCAGGACGCTTATACCACGTGTCTAAAAGCGGCCACTTGTGGCTATGATACGTACGGACAGTCGGCCCTTTACCAAACTGGACCAATCCAGCCGCAAAGACCCTATCCCATGATGCCTCAGGCAGGTTACACAAGCGTCATTGTGGATGCCCAGCAGTACCAAATAGCCAATGGTTATGTTCACTGACCCCTTTAACCCTTTGCTGTTTCTTTTTCCTTTGTTTTTAAATGTTTATTAACACTGCCTAACTGTAAGATATTACTCTTCTTCTTCTTCTTCTTCTTCTTCTTCTTCTTCTTCTTCTTCTTCTTCAATATTACTTTAGAAATGTTTTAATTATTTTTAAACTACAATTCATTAAGCCTGTCCCATAATAGTTGCTACATTTGCATACGAATTTCACACACTGAATGTAACATTTATGGGACAGACGTACTATAAACTGGTGCTACTTCAGTATGTGGTCTATGATTTTTCTTAAATATGTGGTCGACCTTAAAGACTATCGTATATGTCGGCGTACAAGGCGACTTTTTAATCTTACCCCCCAACCACCACCACCGCACAAAAAATAGGAGGCCGTCTTATACCCCAGGTATAAAATGTAAGCCTTAAACTGTGTGGTTTATGGTAAGTTATTAGCTTGGGAAACTTTTAACGGTAGTCCAACCCCTACATCGCCTCCTTTTTTCGATGATGTTGAACAAAAACACAACTGGATGTGTGTCTCAACAAGTCGTTTAAAGATCGCATTCAAGAATAGTGGAACGAGTTACTGGTTAGCGGGAAAAAAGTCACTCAGTCTACCATAACAGGCTACAGAAAATACATCGCCGCCACTAATGAGGTATTGTAAATTGTGGTAGATAATTGACAATAACTCCTCACCATTTTTTGCTTTCACTAGAATTTGAGTGAAAAGAAAGTATATGCTTACTTCAGTCGTCTTGTACGATGAATATAGCTCAAAACCTACATTTTAACTTGCGGTTCATCTAATTTGGGGGGTCGTCTTATACGCCCAGTGGCCTTATACACCAGCGTATGCGGTACTACATCTTTTTTCTTGTCTTCTTCCGTATATATATATTTTAATGGAAGAATTTTCTCAACTCATGCATCGCACACTTCAGTGAGCCGCTGTTTTCAGTAGCATATATATATATATATATATATATATATATATATATTTATATATATATATATATATATATATATATATATATATATATATATATATATATATATATATCATATATTTAAGTAGCGCTATATAATTTTTAAAATTAGAATATTCCTTATTTTATTTTATTTTTAAGTCACTAAATTCGGGATTTTAAAAAAAATGTAATTTTAAGTTAAATAGATTTAATTCTGTATAGTAATAAGTTTATTTTATTATTAATTTAATAAAGTGTTGTTACCAATTTATTTTTTTAAATATTATTTTCTATTATGCAGTGAAATTTCTTTTGTAAATTACTTCCTCTGTCCCGATAAATGTTGGTACATTTAGTGTATGGGACTTGTATGCAGATGTAAGGCACCTCGAGCTGGTGTAATGGTTAGCAAGCGTATCTTGCTAGAAGAATTACGAGTTCGATCCTCACTGGGTGCCCCCTGCTTTCGACCTTGGTCCACATCTGAGCTATGCATGGAAAATCACTGTATGCAGATGTACAAATGTTTTGGGACAGGGGTAGTGTTCTTTTCTAGTTTTCTATAATGTTTCCAAATGGAAGATTTTCAAATCTTTATTTTGAATTTTATTTATAATTTATTATGAATTATAGTCACTAATTTCCTATCTTTTTCTCTATCTCTGTCTATCTTTATCCAAATTGTGCCCGGATGTTCAGAAGGGCGTTGAAAGACAAAAAAATATATCAGTGAAAGACTTTAAATGGATCTTGAAGGGGATCAATGGCGAAACGTCAAACCTGGGAATTGAATAAATAAATTAATGAAATTCGAAATATATTAATTGTAAAATGATCAATAAATGAATAAAGAAAAACAGATGCAAAAAAAAAAAAATGATTACCTGCAGATCGATCCCCAGCAGACAACAAAAGATGTAAAGACAAAAAAAAAGGGAGAAAAAAGGTCAAAAAGGTCAAATAAAAACGATCGCCTCCAGTTATACATAATTTAATTTTTTTAAAAGAAAATTTTTAAAAATAAGGATAGAAGAAAAATGCAATGGCTTACTTGGAAAAAGATTTAATAATTTTGAAAGTAATGATGTTGTTGTTATGATAAACAAGTTTTTAAAAAAGAAATTTAAAAAAAAAAAAACAGATTTGATTTCCAGTGGTTAAATAAAAAAAAAAGAAAAGAAAAGAAAAATAAGGAAAGAAAAAATTGGAACATGGGTGAAAAAGACAAAAACAAATAATACTGGGACTGACGGAGAAAAAAATATATATATATATATATATATATATATATATATATATATAAAGAAAGAAAAAAGGAAGAATATTAAAAACAAAAGAGAGAGAGAGGGGTATTTATGGATTTTTAAACAAAATACAGACAAAATCGAGTGATATGAAATACAGCATTGAAAAAAAGTTTCCATCGTTATAATTTAAAGGAATTATTTGAAATCTCAAGACATTCAGAATAAACAGTTGATAAATATCTTTATGACAGTAATATATAAACATACACACATGCACGCACGCGCACACACTCACTCACACACACACACACACATATATATATATATATATATATATATATATATATATATGAGTATGAGAAAAACCCACACAGGTACGGACTATCTTCCCCTGACGTTTTCTTCATTTGTCTTTTATGTAACTTTTACTCTGCTCTTTGCTTTCTTTCATTTCTCTCCGACTCTCTCTCTCTCACTTTCTGTATCTCTATATATATATATATATATATATATATATATATATATATATATATATATATATATATATATATATATATGTATGTATCCATGTGTGAATGCTATTACCTGAATGGCCAAAGCACTTAAGACGACGAAATAGCTTCCAGAAAGGGAAAACAATGGTAAAAAAAATAAGGTTCATTTTTTTCTGTTGATATACGGTCTATCCGGCAAGACATGGAAAACGATGTTAACATGAGAGAGGGACAAATTTATCAATCAGTTCAAATTCACACACACACACATATATATATATATATATATATATATATATATATATATATATATATATATATATATATATATATATATAAAGGAAAATGTATGACAAAGTCGAAGTGTTATTGTGACGCATTTCGTCCCTTAGGACTACATCAGACTAAATTTGTTAGGTTGGTCCAACGAAGTTCTAAAGGAGAAACTTTTTCCAATTTGTCATACACTTTTTCCTCATACATATATATATATATATATATATATATATATATATATATATATATATATATATATATATAAAAGGTCAAACAGTAATATTCCATGGTTATAATTTATTACATTTGAATCGTAATCACGATCAAATCATCAGATCTACAAATTCAAAAAGATATTTTCTTTTTGAATTTGTAAATCTAATAATTTGGAACATTGAATATTAGTGTTTGAGACTTTGATATTCTTACTCTGTCCTGGACATTGAGTTCTACCTGGATTCTATCCACTTGGGGATTTATATATATATATATATATATATATATATATATATTATATATTTACTGACCATTTATATCTATCTATCTATCTATCTATATATATATATATATATATATATATATATATATATATAAAAAAAGAAAGAGAGAGGTGCCGCAAACGTTTTTTGGTTGTAATGTGGATTTATTTAGAAAAAATATTATGCTTTGTTTTACATAATTTTACGACACGTGTTTCTGGTCTCGCGACCGTCTTCAGGTAAAAGTGGAATTTCTACATATTATTAAAAATAATTAATTTCTAGAAAGAAATTCGGATTACCAACACTATGTCTCATATCGAGAATATTTCATTGAACATGAAGAAAAATTAATTATATTTAATAATATGTGAAATCTCACTTTTACCTGAAGACGGTCATGAGAGAAACACGTGTCGTAAAATTATGTAAAACAAAGCATAATATTTTTTCTAAATAAATCCACATTACAACCAAAAACGTTTGCGGTACCTCTGTTCTCTTCTTTTTAATATACATACTTTTCTCTCGTTAGAACCACTACAACATATTTCTTTTATATATATATATATATACGTGCGCTTGTGTGTCTGTATAAACGAACTTTAGCTAGCATGTCATATATATATATATATATATATATATATATATATATAACGTGTGTCGGTTGATCTCAATCTCTAATACTCTTCAAGCTTTCCTCGAGTTTAATTGATTGATCAACTTCAATGGTACGTCAACTTTCATTGTTGTTCATCATGAGGCTACAGCATAATTTTAGGAGATGCCGACAGTGTTTGAGAAATAACTGCATGTCAGCAAAACCTCTGCGTTGGTAATGCTATGCATTGAAATCTTTCTGCAAGATTTTAATAATTCCCTTTGCCCTACTTTCTTGAGTTCATTATTATTATTATTATTATTATTATTATTATTAATTGCCATGAAAACTCTCTCAGGTTTGAAGAAATTGAAAAACATAAGTTATTATCACTTTCTAACAGCTATTGTTAAAAGGGCGTCTCTCTTGGGTTGCTGCTTGTCTATTAAATGTAAGCAAATTCAAGTTTCCTATTTCGAGGAAGTCATTTCTTGCCTGAGACTTTCGTGACATCAACAATCCCCCAACATCTGGTGACAAACTTCCTCCCCCCCCTTCAAATGTTTCTCTGCTGTTTATCTTCTGATTAATAAAAAGAGTTGGCTAAAAAGCTAATATTTTTGATGTGCTTGCTTTTCGCTTCTTTTAACATTTTTCCGTTCTTTTTTTTTTCCCATTCTTTATCATTTTTCCATTCTTCTTTTTTCTTTTTCTTTCTCTTTTACATTCTTTCATTTTTCTTTCAAATTCTCTTTCTTTCTTTCTTTTTCTTTCATTTTTTTACCATAGATTTTCTTTTCTTTTTGCCATTTTAATATTTTAATTTTTTGTCTATATTTCTGAGATGAGGTATTATGTACATTATTTACATTATTCGGACTATTGTCCTCATCTTTGTCGCCATATTTAATTTTTTTTCTTTTCTTTATCATTATTCTGTCTCATTCTTTTTTCATCTTTTTCTTTCTTTTTCATAATTTTTTATTCCATATTCTTTTCTTTTTTCTTTCTTTCGTTCTTTATTTATTTATTTATCTACTTATTAATTTTCCTTTTTTATTTTTTCCATCGTTTTTGTCTTTCTTTTTCTTTCAAATTTCTTGTCTTTCTTTTCTATTTTTTCCTTTTGTCTTTATTTATATATTAATAACCCTTTCTTATCATCCCCATTTTTCTTTCCTTCTTTTTCGATTTCTTCTTTCCTTCTTGTCTTGCTCGTAAAACCGCCATTTTCATCACTTCCTTTTCTCTCGCTTTCTCTCTCTCTCTCTTTCTCTCCCTCTCTCTTTCTCTCCCTCTCTCTTTCTCTTTATCTTTCTCTCTCTCTTTCTTTCTCGTTCCTCCGCATTTGTTTTCTCTCCCTTTAATTCACCCAACTCGTCCCAATCTCTTTTCTCCCGTTCCTATTTTCATGCCAATTGTTTCCAAATATCTGCAAAAGAACAGAAAAAACCGCACTGATCAAGAAAAGAAATTAAATACACACACACACAGACACACACAGACACACACACACACACACACACACACACACACATATATATATATATATATATATATATATACACGCCTACATAAAATGTTAATGAAAAGGTATTTAAAAAAAGGAAAAAGAAGAAAAGCACAAACTACGATGACATAAAGCATTTTTGTCCACAATTTTGTCTGTTTTCCTTGTTTATTTGTTTTCGTTTTGTTTTTTGTTTTTTGGTTGGGGGGAGGAGGTCACAGAAGAAATTCACGTGAAAAGGTGTGAATTTCAAAATTCATCTCTACGAATCGCCACCCACAGCAAATATTGCTGCTACACAATCTTTATTGTTGCGTTTGCTATCATAAATGTGGTAGAATATTATATATAAACTCTATTTATCAAACTAATGATGGGCAAATAAATAACAAAATGGGTAAAAAATACCTGTTTCGTCCTTCGAAAGGAATTCTTCACACTAAATGTAATCATCTATATGTGGTGTGGGAATGAAATGGCAAACGATGTTTATAATTGTACATTATGGGATACACTGAAGATACGGAGATGCTGTCATTTGTATTTCAATTTTAAATTCTAGGCGTTCGACGTTTCTAGATGCACAAATTAGCCGGCTTCATTCACCTTACTAACGCACTTGTTTTTAATTTTATCGCTATGTGCCGTGTCCCTTCAGGACGTTGACGATCATGGATATTCACAAATTCCAGTCCATTGTAGGTCTTAATAATTGTTCTCTTTTTGATGAGAAGTACGAGAAAATAAACTATTAGCATAGGACTTTCTGCAAACATAGATATGGTGCCTAGTAACCCGACCCCTATGTGCCGTTGATCCTAAAAGAAGGTTTTATTTTGAATCCTGCTATGTGCCTAGCAATTCTCCTCACCAGAAGAATCTGATGGCAGAACTACTTTAGTCGCTGATGACCCCGAAATGCGGCAAGTAGTATCGCGTGACATAGTGTCAGTAAAACTCGTCGAGTAAGCTGATATAATATAGGGTGCGATGGATAAATTGTCGTCTAAATGACGCAAAAATGAAAATAACACTGACATCTCATTTTAACAGATATACAGGGTGCGATGGATAAATTGTCGTCTAAGTGACGCAACAATGAAAATAATATTGACCTCATTTTTAAATATTTTAAATATTCTTCTCTTGCTTTCCGTTTAAGTGAAACCTGGGTAGGTTGTTCCTGGCTTTTGGGGATTTATTTCCTTTATCCCTACTCTACTTAGCGTATTGAACACTTTGAGTTTTAATGAAAATAGTTCACTAACCAACTAAAGAGTATTTCTAGTCATTTAACAGTTGACGAATAGGTTAGTCTTCAGTCATCAAAGTATTTTCACAGGTTTTTTTATGATCTTACGCTACGTTTCAAGGACATTTTGTGTTCATTATAGATGAACGAATCGGGTTTTGAGTCAATGGAATTTTCTAATGCTGTTCCTACAAATTCGGTTTCTTTATCGAACGAAAATGTTTCTTGGAAATCAGTGAGAACCAGAAAATATTTCATGAAATGAAGCGAGTTACCGTCTGAAGGTGAAAGGTCAGGAAAACATACCAGGCGAAAAAGAACATCCCATACCGATTCTCTCTCTCTACTCATATGTGATGTTGCATTTGCGATATGAGAACAAGCATTGGTACTTACCAAAAATCAGTGGTCGACTTCTTTGGCTAGAGAAAAGATCTTTTCATTTCCAATGTGTTATGCAAATGTATCGATTTATTACTGAAGCGTTGGCACAGAAAACTGTTTGCTCAGGTGCCAACAAGTCATAATAAACAATGTCACTAAAACGACTTTGAATCACACTAAACAGATTTTTTTCCCAGTTGATTCGGTTTAAAGTTGAGAACTTGAAGATTATTCATGATCATCTGTTTATATTTCTGAGATGAGCTGCTGTAACTATTTATATTATTTACATCGTTCGGACAGTTGTCCTCATATTTATTGTCACATTTCCGAAGTTTCGGGCGTTGTACGCTCCGGCCTTCTTCAGGATCTTTCTCTATTTCTAAGATGAGATATTGTAACTATTTACACTTATCGTTGAAACTGTTGTCTCCATCTTTATTGTCATATTCACGACGTTTCGGCCTTCGTATGCTCCGGCCTTCTTCAGGATCTCTCTATATTTCTGAAATGAGGTATTGTAACTATTTGCACTATTTACATCGTTCGGACTGTTGTCATCATATTTATTGTCATATTCACGACGTTTCAGCCTTCGTACGCTTTGGCCTTCTTCAGGATCTCTCTATATTTCTGAGATGAGCTAGTGTAACTATTTAAACTATTTACATCGTTCGGACTGTTGTCATCATCTTTACTGTCCTATTCACGACGTTTCAGCCTTCGTACGCTCCGGTCTTCTTCAGGATCTCTCTATATTTCTGAGATGAGCTGCTGTAACTATTTACACTATTTATATCGTTCGTACTGTTGTCCTTATCTTTATTGTCACATTCACAACATATCCTGGTTTCAATTTTCGGTTAATTTCCCTTTAGTAACCCAACTCCTCCGAGTTTGTGGTCACCTCTGTCGTAGCAAAGCTATTGAACTCACAAATCTTTGCGTCAAGTCACTTTTTCGATTACTTCAACCAATGCCTTTATTCACTGGGCCATGTGTCCCCAAGGAGTTGAATAAAAAGTTGGAGAGTTGGGTTACTAAAGGGAAATAACTGAAACTAAGATATCCAGAAAAGGCATGGCATGTGGAACTAGAACAATCTAGCCCACGTAATAAAGAGATCTATTCGAAATTCCAAGACGATGTATCTAAGTCGAAAAATGCGTCGATTAAAACGTTGAGGTAAAAATCAACAAATACGCTCCGGCGACTTAATTCGAAAAACGACTTAAGTCGAATTTACAGTTACTTGTCTCCGAATTGTCACTTGGCTAAACCACAAATAAACCATTCCCAGTTTTGTATTTTTATTTATAAATACATTTTTAATAATATATGGTCAATAAAAATCTATTTTAAGCTTACAAAAAATAAATTTTAGTTTTTAATATAGCACAGAAAAAATAAATTTACAAATACATATACACTATTTACATTATTCGGACTATTTTCCTCATCTTTGTCGCCATATTTATTACAACGTTTCAGCCGTTGTACGCTCCGGCCTTCTTCAGGTGGTTGGAATGTCGAACTGAACCCTTTATTTCGCTCACTGGGGTAGACTGTTTTAGTTCCACGTGCCATGTTTAATGGATGTCAGTTATCAGTTATCTCTTGTTAATTTCCCTCTGAAAGTTCTCCACTGCCTTTAACCGGGTATTGAACTCGCACTCTTTGGGTCCTGTCACTGGATCTAACCACTGTGCCATGTGTTGTAATAAATATGGCGACAAAGATGAGGACAATAGTCCGAATAATGTAAATAGTGTACATAATACCTCATCTCAGAAATATAGACAGATACTGAAAGGCTGAAACGTAATAAATATGGCGACAAAGATGAGGACAATAGTCCGAATAATGTAAATAGTGTACATAATACCTCATCTCAGAAATATAGACAGATACTGAAGGACCGAAACGTTATAATAAATATGACGACGAAGATGAGGACAATAGTCCAAATAATGTAAATAGTGCACATAATACAACATCTCAGAAATATAGACAGATACTGAAGGGCCGAAACGTTGTAATAAATATGACGACAAAGATGAGGACAATAGTCCGAATAATGTAAATAGTGTACATAATACCTCATCTCAGAAATATAGACAGATACTGAAGGGCCGAAACGTTGTAATAAATATGACGACAAAGATGAGGACAATAGTCCAAATAATGTAAATAGTGTACATAATACCTCATCTCAGAAATATAGACAGATACTGAAAGGCTGAAACGTAATAAATTTGGCGACAAAGATGAGGACAATAGTCCAAATAATATAAATAGTGTACATAATACCTCATCTGAGAAATATAGACAGATACAAAGATAATAGTTCGAAAAGCATAACATTTAAGCACTCCATACCGTTATGTAATGCCGTCTCTTCGATATGACAGTGAATACCAGACAATTTCATTACAAATGATAAAGTGACTTGAAGCGACAGAGAGGTGCTTCTACAAAATAATGTTTAGAATATGAAAGGTCGCTTGCACTTGATAAATTTAAGTACTGGAAGTAAAAGGTGCGGCAGAAATACCTCCCATATTTTAAAGTTTGACAAATATACCAAGGCAACTGCTATTAAAAGAATTATTTCACTTTTGTTTAAACGAAGGGCTGTAGTTTTTATTCATTTTTTTTTAAAATGACAT